TATTTATCTTGGCATGAATTAGAGTAGCGTAAATTCTTTTAGCGTTTTTCGCTTTTTGCAAATATACGACTGTCATTGATTCACTGCGCATATAACCATTTGCGTCAATATCAAAAGGTCGGGAATATCCATCGGGCGATAAAACACCTGAAATTTAAATGTATAACTCTGACATGAAATTTTAATGCCATATAACATTGTCTTCCGGCCGGCGCTACAGTCTCCGATAATCGCGATCTTCGTGGCATTCCCGACATTCGCTCATTGCGATCGCGAATAATAAATACAACACAAATAATAATAAACTGCGGAACGTAATTAATGTGAACGTAACTATCGAACGTTTAATTAATGAGAAAAGTAATGTCGGGTAAAATCGTGGTCGTAACTCGATATGACAATATTTTCTACTACATGTCTGTCTTGCGCTTTCGGTCATATGCAATTTTTGTTTTCAAGTGTTTGACATCTTCTTCTTCGAGATTAAATCTTCATCAGTCAAATCTTACTATATTGATTTGATTCATACGTTGCGGATACAATATAATTGATATAAATCGACCCGTCTCAACGTGACGCAGCCGCGAATACAACAATACTTTACTATATTCCTCTTTTCATTTTTTAGTTTAATATGAAATACCAAGTCGCATAAGCTGCATGTTCACAAGGGGATTCAAGCAGAGTTGTGAACCAGCAACGATCATATCGTCTGCCTCTCCAGATCGGAGAATTCTGTAAGCGCGCTCCATTGCATAGAGACTCGAACTACAGGCGGTGTCGATAATATAAGACGGTCCTTTTATACCTAACCAGTGAGTAATCCAACTTGCCATCAAGGATTTCTTACTTCCCAACGTTTCAAAACCAGCGAACTGTAATAATTACTGCTAAATCTTATGTATTCATAGAATATGTGTCTAAAAGAAGTATTACGTACATATGCATATACAGTTGGCTACATAAACAAATATGTTGCAACATTTTCGCTTGACAAGCTTCGTAATGCGTTCTATATTTAGTAGGAGAATTTTGTATTTATTATTAATAATTGTTAGTTGATATATTTTCCATTTGGATATGAAATGCATTTCAAAATTTATCCATGAAAAATGTTGCAATCGTTAATAAGT